GTATCTAATTTCTTTCATCAGGGTTTTATAGTTTCCAGTAAATAAGTCTTTCACCTCCTTAGTTAAGTTTATTCCTAGGTATCTTAATTTTTATGGTGTAATGGTAAATGGGATTTTTTTTTTTAGTTTCTCTTTCTGTGAGTTCATTATTGGTGTATAAAAAGGTCATAGATTTTTGGGTGTTAATTTTGTATCATGCTTCATTGCCGAATTTGTTTATTCAGGTGGTGTTTTTGTGGGAATTTCCTATAACAATCTTTATAAGTTTTTGTATGTTTCAAATATTTCATCAAGTTATCAAAAAGAAAGTTAAGTTAGTAAATAGATGAAGGCCAGTAAATTATCTGAGAACAGAAAAAAAGAACATACACACCCAGTTACTTAAAAATATACTTTTGAAAATATATAAAAACATTAAAAATGCATATTACATAGTATTAGATGAAAAGTGTAGACATACTGATCACAAATACATGAAAATATGTCTGCAAATACAAAAGACTTGGAATGTAAAAAAAAATAGAGTAGAAATATGAGTTATTTCTTTGCCCTATTTTCTAAAGTGTGTTTACTGGTTTACAATTCTTAAAGGAAGTATTTTAACTATTAGAAGTCCTTGGTTGGTAGAATCAAGTTTAGAAATAAGCAAAGGACAAAGAGAATAAAACATTCAAAGGAGCATGCACCACTCATTTAAAAATATTTTCTTTTCATTATATTTATTCTATCTGTGGGTCCTAAGTGGGCCTCGGGCCCCATGTAGGAGACATCAGCCAGCAGCAGGGCCACTTTTAACACACACACCACACAAGCTGACTCGTTCTCCTGGCTGGTTTACTATAAGTTGAATTACATGAGGTTTGCTATAAGTTTAGTAACACTGCCCTCTAGCATTTTATTTTTTACTATAAATCATTTCATTAACTAGAATATAATGGGAAATTTCCCACAAGTCTTACCTATTCTTTCTTTGACTCCTCAGAGGATGTTCAAACCGTTTTGTGATCCATATAAAAATGGA